CCTCCGCTACAGTGCTCAGGACCCCTCTCAGACATCCCCCAAGGGCTCCTGGATTGCGAGAGGGCACAGGCTGGGCTGAGGGACCCCTCCCCAGGGCACGAACGTCATGCACCAGGCCTCTAGTTATATATAAATGGAATCATTCCCTCTGTGGTTTTCAGTCTGGTTTTTTTCACTCAGTGTGATATTTTCGTGGTTCATCAATGTTGTAGTGTGTCATCAGCGCTCCACTCCTTTTCATGACTGAGTGATATTCCGTTGTATGGATGGGCCATTTTTGTTCATTCATTCATCAGCTGATGGACATTTGGTTTGTATCCACCTTCTGGCCACTGTGACTGGTGCTGCTATGCAATGTGTGTACAAGGACCTGTGAATCCCAACTTTTAATTTCTTTGTTATACAGTGGGGCAAAAGCGGCTTTACAATGTTTAGTCTTCTATTATTATTTATTAGTTATTGCATTATTTTCCATACGAACATCTGTAAAACTACTTTTGCCCTACCCTGTTTTTTTCCCCCTACACACACATTTTTCAGATAATACTGTCATGGACATTGCTTTTTAAAAACAGTCTTATTTACTTATGATTGACATGCCAAAAACTGCGCACGCTTAACATGTACAATTCAATGTGTTTGGCATGTGTTTACATCTGTGAAACCGTCACCTGATAAAGGTAACGAACACAGCCATCACTCCAAATGTTCCCTCCTGCCTTTGTCATCTGCCCCCGACCCCTCCCCAGGCTACCTTCTGACCGGTTTCCTGTCTGTTTACATTCATTCATTTGCACCTTCTTGAACAGCTTTTAAACGGCATTATACAGTTTTAGCCTTTTGGGTCTGGCTCCTTCCTCTCAGCACAAAGCCTTGGAGGTACATCCATATTGTTTTGAATGCTGGAAGTTCGTATTTTTCCTCGATGAGAAGTATTTTGTTGTATGTTCATCCATTCTCCTGACGATGGACATTCTAGTTGTTTCCAGTTTGGGACAATTGCAAATAAAGCTGCTGTGAGCATTTGTATTCAAATCTGCTTTCCTTTCTCTTCGGTAAATACCAAATGAGTGCACATTTAAACTTAAAAAAAAAAAAAATATATATATATATATATATATATATATATATATATATATTTGATTTTTTACAGAGAGGAAGAGAGAGGGATAGAGAGTTAGAAACATTGATGAGAGAGAATCATCAATCAGCTGCCTCTTGCACACCCCCTACTGGGAACATCTCCAAATGGAATCGAACCTGGGACCTTTCAGTTCGCAGGCCGAGATGCTCTATCCACTGAACCAAACCGGTTTCAGCTTGAATTGTTTTTTTTTTAGAAGCAGAGCCTGATATAGGATTCACGATCATGTGAGTTTGGGGGAAATGTGTGAGGGGGTAAGGCATAAGGACAAGTTAGGGAAGGAGGAGGCAAGGAAGTGGGTTCAATTGGAGTGGAGCCTCTGATCTGGGTGAGGGCAGAGCCTGGAATTTGACAACCCCTAGAGTGTTCCCATTTTGGTGCAAGGGGTCTGGCCTCTTGTGTCTCGTACCCTTCAGTCCTTGTTGTGAGCTTCCCTGGTGTGTGTGGGTTTTGGCAGGTGTGGGACCAGCCTGATGAGGCAGTTTGGTCAATGTCAATTCACAAGGGATGGCTGTGAGCTGTTAGCAGCCAATACTTGCAGCAGCTGGTGTAGGGATGCACCAGCCAGTAAAAATTCTCCCGTCAAGGCACTCACAGCATCCTTTACAAAAATGGTGTCCGGCGTGGCTCAGTAGTTGAGCATCGACCTATGAACCAGGACGTGAGGGTTTGATTCCCGGTCAGGGCACATGCCCAGGTTGCAGGCTTGATCCCCAGCAGCAGGTATGAAGGAGGCAACTGATCAACGATTCTCACTCATCATTGATGTTTCTATCTCTTTCTTCTTCCCCCTCCCTCTCTGAAATAAATAAAAATATATTTTTTAAAATGGTGTCCATTAGACAAATTAGCACATTGACAATAATTTAATCACAGTTATGATCAATGCAAGCTACAATGAGGGCTCCATCAGAGGAAGGGAGAGGATGGTTTGGGGGTGACAGGAAAAGGAAGGCTAAGGAATGGATCTGGAATCCTAGCTACTATGTCGCTGGGGCGTAAGGATCAGCTGATCCAGACATTATCTGTTTGGGCTCCCTCCTAAAGCACCTGACATGATTAGTTGGATGGGCTTTGGATTTATTTGAAACTATCTATTGACTTATTGGGATTCCCCCTTAAACTGTATCTTCCTGGAGAGGGAGAACCTAATTATTCATTTTCCATATCCCCACATTTCAGTGCATGAGGCCAGAATGCTAAGAAAAAGGAATCTTTTATCATGTCATGACAGAAATACTGGAAAATTAGGAACCATGAAGGATGAGGAACCAGGAATCCTGTGAGCTGACTGCCATATTTAGAGAGCCCCAGAATCTTGGGACAGGAAGGGAAGTGGGGGGTTCTCTAAGACACCAAAAAGCTGAGCCTCAGAATTTAAGGAGATTAATATTCATAAACCAGTGGCTGAACTTGGACAATCTTGTACTGAGCACCTAATGCATGTGGTTATTATTCTCTGCATGAACAAAGCCAACCCCTGTCCATGTGGAACTTCATAAATATTAAGGGAGTAACTAGCAGCTCATTTATTCTTTTTTGTTGTTTATCCTCACCCAGGGATATATTTTCTCTCATTGATTTTCAGAGAGAGTGGAAGGGAGACAGAGGGAAGAGAAAGAGAGAGAGAGAAACATACATTGTGAGAGAGACACATCCATTGCTGCCTCCTCCATGCTCCCTGCTCCTCAGCTGGTGCTCAAACCTGCAACCCAGACACGTACCCTTGACCGGCCAGGCAAGTTCATTTATTTTTTTTCCACTCAAGTAAATGCAATAATATTTATTTTAAAATTTCATGCATTTTTCCCCACTAGGGAAATGTGCACATTTCCAGTGCATTCAAAAGCTTAACCTAACCTGTCAGCAGATGATTGGATCAAAAACTGTGGTACATCTACACAATGGAATTCTATGCTGCCATAAAAAAAGAATTCTTATCATTTGCAGCAACCTGGATGGAATTGGAGAACATTATGCTGAGTCAAATAAGCCAGTCAATGAAAGAGAAATACCACAGTATCTCACTCATTTATGGAAAATAAAGAACATGATAAACTGATGAACCAAAAGATAGATACAGAATAAAAGAAACAGAATGTCAAATTATAGCGGGGAGGGTAGGGAGATATGGGGAAGATAAGAGATTAACCGAAGGACTTGTATGCATGCATATAAGCATAACCAATGGACGAAAAACTCTGGGGAGGGAGGGCATGTATGGGAGTGGGTGTGGGGATTGGTAAGGTATGTACACATATAATACCTTACTAAAAAAAATGAGGAAAAAAAGAAAAAAAAAGAATGTGTCTAAGCTGCAAGGCTGGAAAAAAAAAAAAAGCCTAGTGAGCTTATCTAGAAAAAAAAAAAAAGCTCAACCTAATGTTACATGTTTGGACATACTGTTTATAGCAATCAGGGTGCCATCATTTATGACATATATTACACCTGAAAAAAAGTATATAGATCAAGTATAAATATCAAATTACTGCTAAAGTGCATTATGGAAATTTGTTACATAAAGGAATCCTATAGTGAATCCATTTGGTAAACAAACAAACAAACAAAAACACCCAACTGCACTTAGGGAGACATCACGATTAGTAGGTAGTAAAAGCCTTGGACAAATAGTAGGAATTCTGGGATTCTAGTACTACTGATTCTTCTGTCATTTGTAATAAGGGTGGGGAAATTGAACAAGATAATCGTAAATGTCTGTAACCCAGAGTTCCCTATCCTAGAGCGCAGTGATAAGAACGCTGGTTGTAGGTTCAAACAGAGGTGGTTTGACTCTCAGCTGTGCCACTCAGTGCAGCCTCCCACTCCCACAAGTTATGTAACCTTCTTATACATTTTCCTAGCCTATAAAATACACTCTTCAACCAATACTGTGAGTATTAAATTAGAAGATATTTATGAAGTACTTTGTACAGTCCCTGGCATCATTTATTCTTTATCCCATCTTAATGATTATTATTTCCCTTTCCCAATAAACTGGAGGCTCAGAGAGGTGAAATCACTTGTACAAAATCACACAGCCGGTGGGTGGCCAGGTCAGGATTTCACCCCAGAGCAAGTGTTCCCAATCACTTTGCTATATTCTGCCTCTTAATATTATTATCCGAGCCAACAGGCACCATTCCGAGCACCAGGCTCTGTGCTAAGGAAGTTCCTGATTCATTTACTCAACAAATGTACACTGAATACCTATTTTTGTGCAAGCACCCCAGTCAACAGGGGACGTCTCTGAGAGAGAGGGCTACACCGTCCGCCAAGCCTCCACAACTGGGTGTTCCACTACGTAGGGCATGCGATAGGCGCTCCATTAACCCAGGGGGCGAAGACCCCCAGTCCCCAAAGCCCGCCGCCCGGTCACCAGGAAGCAGGGGTTGGGGCGGGACCACGTGTCCCGGCAGCCAACGCGCAGGCAGTTGGAAGCCCCGCCCCCGCGCGTGCGTGCTGCGCGTCTTGTCGGCTCGCTAGGCACTACTCCCGGCGCGGTTGGAGGGGACGTCAGTGAGCGCGCGCGCCTGCGTCGACGTCGGGCTCGCGCACGCGCACCTGCGCTGGCGTCGGGCTCGCGCACGCGCACAGCGCCGGCGGCAGTGGCGGCCGTTCCTGCGGGGGTCTGCGAGCGGCTGGCGGCTACAAGCGGAGCAGCGACGCCGCGGAGCTTACAGGTGGCGGCGGCGGCGGCTCGCGGCCCGGCTCGCGCCGCGGTGGGCGTTTCTGTTCGGTCCAGGGGCGCGGGCGAGGCGGCGGCTGCGGCCCGAGGCCTGCGGCCTAGGCCTCAGCGCGGCGGCGGCGGGCTCGAGTGCAGCGCGGAGCCGGCCTGCGGGCCCTGCGCGTTGGCACCATGAGCGTGGAGGCATACGGGCCCAGCTCGCAGACTCTCACTTTCCTGGACACCGAGGAGGCCGAGCTTCTCGGCGCCGACACACAAGGCTCCGAGTTCGAGTTCACAGACTTCACCCTCCCCAGCCAGACGCAGACGCCTCCCGGAGGCCCCGGCGGCCCCGGAGCTGGCGGCCCGGGGGTCCCGGTCGGCGCGGGTGCTGGCGCTGCTGCCGGACAACTTGACGTTCAGGTGAGTGGCACATGGCGGCGCCGGAAACCGGGCCAGGCCTTGGCGCCTGGGGACCTGCTCCGGTTCCCCGACTCAGGCTGGCCCCCAAGTAACCTGTACCGGATCCCTCACTCCCGCCGGGTCCGAAGTTATCTGTTTCAGGAGCAGCTACTCGGACCAGGCCCAGCGTAACCTATCCCGGTTGCCGCACTCCTTCCTGGGCGCAGGGCAGACCTGCTCCAGGTCTCTGCGTCTGGGTGATCTGTCGTGAGCACCTCTACGACCGGGTCTGGATCTAGCTGAGGCCAGGTCTTAGGTGACCTGCCACAAGTCCTCTTCTGAGCTTGTCCGAGGTGACCTGCTCTAGGTCCGTCTCCGGCCAAGTCGGGGTGACTTGTCTCTGGGTGCCCCCTCCACCTGGGTCCCGGCCCTTCGGTGGAACCGGAGCCCTGCCCCACCCCCACCTGTGGTCGCAGCCATCTGGGCACCCTGCATTCACACACCGAGCCTCCAGATCAAATTTCCCCAAGCCCAGGGACTCTGAAGAGGGGAGAGTGGAGGCTCCTAGAGCAGAAAGGGAATTTTTGCTTCCAGGGGAGAATCCCATCCTCGCTGCCTGTAGATGCTATTCTAAAGGCAGGTTGCACTTTGTTTTTCCTGCTTGCATCGACTGTTGCTGAAACCGTCGTGTTACATAACTCCACAGCCCTGCCTTGGAAAAGTTAGGTTTGAGTTTGTTCCTGCAGTGGGCAGTGATAGTGGGTTTTACGTAGATCGGAAATTTGTTTTTAATGATATGAACATTTAGCCAAAGCTGCTTGGATATTTTAAATCTGGGTTTGGGTTATGAGACGTATCAGGCATACACTTCCTGGACCTGTGCGGGGCCTGGCTAGGGCCTTGGGCTGCGGTCCCAGGGAATGTCCCCATCATCCTCTAGACCTCAGATTCCATTCAGCAGGTTTTCCTGCGCCTGGCACTTCCCTCAGATTTATTTTCCTGAATTCTCAGCCAGGGAAGACGACAAGGCTCACCTTGTCACAGGTGTCCCGTGGCCTGAGGACCCAGTGGCAAGGCGGGGGAGCCACCCCTTCCTCAGCCAGAGTGAACTCAAAACCTGTCCTGGGGGATGGGGGCTTGCATTCTGGTTGGGTGTCTATCAAGTTGGTTGAGTCACTCCCGTGGGTAGGCCTCCCACTTGGGCTTTCTTTTAGTCCCTTCTAGAAGCAGAAAACATTTGACTCATTCTAACCCCAGATACCTTAAAAATAGAAATTTGATGGGTGGTGCTTCAGGGAGAACAGGTGTGCAAGTATGTATCCCCCCCCCCCCCCCCCCCCCCCCAGTTTTGTTTATATGTGGTGGAGGGAGGAAGGAGAGAGGTAAGAGTTTGCCTGGAGAGAAGAGTGAGCTGCTGTAGGTGGATGATCATACCTGTAGTATGGACTCTAGACTTCTCTGTTTCCACAGCTGTAAAACATGGCATAGCAGTTTTAGTTTTGTTACTTTTAAACATACATGAAACCTGGACTTCTGTGTGAATGGGCCAGGGAGTGCTGTCTGTAACTTGTGCTCACTGTGTCTGGAAGCCCTAGGATAAAGATGTCTTGGTTGAGCCGAAACCGGTTTGGCTCAGTGGATAGTGTCAGCCTGCGGACTGAAGGGTCCCGGGTTCGATTCCGGTCAAGAGCATGTACCTTGGTTGCGGGCACATCCCCAGTAGGGGGTGTGCAAGAGGCAGCTGATTGATGATTCTCTCTCATCGATGTTTCTAACTCTCTGTCCCTCTCTCTTCCTGTCTGTGAAAAATCAATAAAATATATTAAAAAAAAAAGAAAAAGATTTCTTGGTTGAGCAATGTGCCACCATTTGTGGGGTGACCTGCCCGAGGTCCGTCAGGGTTGTAAAAGGTAATGGTTTTATTACAAATCCTTTTTAACTGTAGCCAATACAAAATGGCCAACCTGGAGCAGCTCTGGTTCTAGTTTTGTTCCTGGTGTTTTTGATTAATCAAGAGCATGCCCTTCTCTTTCCTCCACCTGAACACTGAGCTGTACAAAATAAAAGCATTAAGACTTCACTGGAGGTAAATATTGCAGTTGAGCTCACTTAAGTTCTGATGATATCAAAAGAGACTGCTTTTCCTTACTGGTAGTTAACCCTGATACCCATCCTCCTGTAGCCTAACTTTTGATTTGTATTTGGGGGAGTGGAGTAATATTCTTTGTCAAAGATGAAGCCCTGAACTTAGGGTAGGGAGAGTTTGACTAGAATAGGAAAGTGAAAAAAAGTTGGTTATTTTCTTTGCCAGTTGGTGGCATTGGCTACCTACAGCATTTGGAAAGATTTTTCTTGTTTGTCCTCAGGAGTTATCAGTTTAACCAGCTATATGATGGGGCTTTCAGAGAGACTAAAAAACCCTCCCATTCTGAATGCCTTTTGATCTTATTGGATGAGTGGTTGTAAAACATCAAGTGCTGTGTAGCCAGTTTGATATGGACAGATCACATTTTGTTTATCCACATACTAGTATCCGTTGGTGGACATTTGGATTGTTCCCACTTTTACTTATTATGAATAGTGCTGCTGTGAACCTTGGTTACAAGGTTCTCTGTGGATGTATGTCTTCAGTGAAACTCTGGGTAACTCCTTCAGGAGCTGCCAGGCTGTTTTTCCAATGTGCAGCCACTTTTGATAGTCTTGACTGCTGGTTTTGCACAGTTGGTTTTACCTGAAAGTTTGTTTTGAGGCAGAATGAGAGAATGTCCCAGCCAGGGTAAGAGAGTGGCAGGCAGGAATGACACCTGCTGAGTTCTTGAGTTGGTTCAAGTAACACTTCTTTTCTTTTTTTAAATATATTTTATTGATCCTTTTACAGAGAGGAAGGTATAGAGATAGAGAGCTAGAAACGTCGATGAGAGAGAAACACCGACCAGCTGTCTCCTGCCCACCCCTTACCGGGGATGTGCCCACAACCAACGTACATGCCCCCGACCGGAATCGAACCCAGGACTTTTCAGTCTGCAAGCAGACGCTCTACCACTGAGCCAAACCGGTTTCGGCAACACTTATTTTCTTGTTTGTGAAATGACAATGAATGATATTTATCAGGTCCCTCCAGATCCTGGGATGAAAAGTGGTGAGGACACAGTCTTTCCAAGTGTCCTAAGACAGTTTTCTTTTGCACAGCTGACTCTTTTGTGAGTCTTTCCCCCCTACCCTCAAAGGACAGGGAAAGGTAGTTTCAGAAGTCCTTTGCCTAATAATAGCTGAGAAAGAGAGAGGACTAGAAAGCTAGAAACATCGATGAGAGAGAAACATTGATCAGCTGCCTCTTGCACACCTTCTACTGGGGATGTGCCCACAACCCAGGTACATGCCCTTGACCGAAATCGAACCCGGGACCTTTTGGTCCGCAGGCTGACGCTCCATCCACTGAGCCAAACCGGTTTCGGTGGATTATTTCTTCCTAACTTTCTATAATTTTCCTCCAAGCATTGGAATTATGAAAATCTGAGATTTGGGAGTACTAGCCAATCAAATAAAAGAATGAACTGTGAATGTATGCAACAATGTGGATGCATCTTAGAATAATTACACTGAGTAAAAAAAGCACTTTGACAAAAGAAAAGATGCTCCTCAACTTACAATGGGGTTAACATCCCATTGAACCCATTGCAAGTTGAAAATATCATAATTCAGAAATGCATTTAATACAACTAGCCTACTAAATGCTATAGCTTAGCCACGTCTACCTTAAATTTGCTCAGAACACTTACATTAGCCTACAGTTGGACAAAATCATCTTGCTGTAGCTGCCCAGCATCTTGAGAGTATATTGTACCACATATCACTAGCCCAGGAAAAGATATTAATTTAAAGTATGGTTGTACTGAATGTGCATTGCTTTCTCATGATCATAAATAAAAAAATCATAATTCTTGGAACTGTTCATATATACTCTATATGATTCTGGTGATATAAAGTTCTAGAAAGTGCTAGCGGACTTTGAGTAATAGAAAGCAGGTCTGTGGTTGAGAGAGGGAAGAAAGAAAGGAGGGATGACAAAAGGCACTAAGGGATTTGGGGATGGTGAATATGGGTGTTTACATCCATTGACATCTATCAACTTATAAAATTAAACACTTTAAACATGTCATTTATTGTATGTCAGTTGTATCTCACTATAAGGTAAAAACCAGCTCTGTGGCCCAGCAGAGAAACAGGCAGTTGCCCAAATGTGGGGCTGCTCAGAGTGTTACAGCAGCTTGGTTTGTGAAAGCCCCAGACTGGAAACAACCAGTGGCTGTAAACAGGTGACCAGGTACACAAAGACTCTTACTCAGTTGTAGTCCTGAGAACACAAACTTGGGCTTCTTTTTCCTTTTCAAGTGGGAAGATACTTTAACAAAGAGTTGTAATCTGTTCTTCGAAACCATACTCCTACTGCCTTTGAATTCATGGAAGGCTGTCCCCACATATCCTTGACCATCAGGGAAACATATTTTCTTCTGCTTACTGGCCTGTACCTTATGAAGAGGAGGACTGATACAGTTCAGGGATTCCTAAAAGTGACTTTTTCCATCTGGTTTTGTGACTATGCAGTTCAGCATTCCTTGAGAAAATCAGAGATAAGACTCTGGTAATCTTGCAGGGGTCCAAGAAGTGTTCATTACTTTCTCTTTGTTGTATTTCCCAGGTTTGTTTCCAGATACTGAGAACTTAGCTAGCAATTAGAACAAAAGGAGGTTTTGTATCAGTTAATGGTGAATAAATAAAATTAGTTAATACTCAATTTACCCATTTCTTCACCCTGATTCAGGAAGATTATGGAGAAAATTTACGCCAATGCAATACCAATATTAACTAAAAACTAAAGTTCTCTCTCAGCTTCCACATACCAGAAAAAGACACCTTTCTAATAGCGACAGTGAGGTATGATCACATACTGTAGAGCCCTCTCATTTTTAATGTGCAAGTCAGTGTTTTTCTAGTAAATTTCCGGGATATGCATGACCATC